GGCAACTTGGCGAGACCTCATCTCTACAATACATCAAAAATTAGCCGGGCATGGTAGTGCACACCTGTAGTTCCGGCTACTTGGAAGGCTGAGGCAGGAGGATTGCCGGAGCCCAGCAGGTCGAGGCTGCGGTGGCTGGCAGCGTGCCACTGCACTCTAATCTGGGTGACAGAGTGAGACTCCAACTCTAGGGAAAAAAAAATGTTAGAGACTTTATCACTCAGGCTAGAAAACAGGGGTGTGATCATAGCTGACTGCAGCCTCAAACTCCTGGACTCAAGTGATCTTCCCATCTTAGCCTCCTGAGTAACTGGGATTACAGGCATGTACCACTACACTTGGCTCACTTTTCCACATAAGAAAAAATTTTAGAAAAAAAAAAAAAAAAAAAAAAAAAAAAAGAAAAAATTTTAAATAATTAAAATCCAAACTATCATTCAGAAGCCTCGATGATTATATAACCATTCTCTCACTGGAATCGGTTGTCTTTAAATACTGAAATATGGCCGGGCTCGGTGGCTCAGCCTGTAATCCCGCGCCTTTGGGAGGCTGAGGTGAATGGATTGCCTGAGCCCGCGGGTTCGAGACCCACCTGGGCAGCGAGACCTCATCTCTACGATAAATCAAAAAATCAGCCGGGCGTGGTAGCACGTGCCTGTAATTCTGGCTACTTGGAAGGCTGAGGCAGGAGGATCGCTGGAGCCCAGCAGGTCGAGGCTGCGGTGGCCGGGAGCGGCCACTGCACTCCAGTCTGGGCGACAGTGAGACTCCAACTCAAAAATAAATAAATAAATAAATATAAATAAATAAATACTGAAATATGGCCTTGACCTTGGGATTGGAATGATTATGCATTTTTGAAAACGCTTTTTTCCCCAGGTGCTCTGGACCCCTCGGGTGCTATCCAATGGCGTCGAGTTCTCACGCGTCAGTCCAGATGGTGAGGAGGGCTACCCTGGAGAGTTAAAAGTCTGGGTGACATACACCCTGGAGGGCAGCGAACTTGTGATCAACTACAGAGCACAGACCAGTCGGGCCACACCTGTCAATCTCACCAACCATTCTTACTTCAACCTGGCGGGCCAGGTGAGTGGACTTGCCTCTTCTCTCCTGGTGGAACCAGTGTGCTGGGTGCAGTGATCTTAGTCTGTGACTGGAGAGAACAACCCAGTGTGGAGTTGCTCCAGTAATGGGGTCACCCTCATATGATGAAAAGGTGCTAGCAGAGGGCTCATTGTAGGTGCTTAGTAAATGGAAGTTGTAGCCGGGCTTGGTGGCTCAGCCTGTAATCCCGCGCCTTTGGGAGGCTGAGGTGAGTGAATTGCCTGAGCCCGCGGGTTCGAGACCCGCCTAGGCAGCAAGACCTCATCTCTACAATAAATCAAAAAATCAGCCGGGCGTGGTAGCGCACGCCTGTAATTCCGGCTACTTGAAAGGCTGAGGCGGAAGGATCGCCGGAGCCTAGCAAGTCGAGGCTGCGGTGGCCGGGAGCGGCCACTGCACTACAGTCTGGGTGACAGAGTGAGACTCCAACTCAAAAAAAAAAAAAAATGGAAGTTGTAGAAAATGACAGAGTGAGGACATGGTCCTGCCAAGAGATGCGCCTGGTTTCCAGATGCTTCCAGCAAGTCACTAGCTATTTCAGGAACTCCCTCTCATCTCTCTGTGAGCTTGCATCAATTCCCTTATTCTGCTTCTATTGCCCCAAATTTATTATTATCAGTCAAGGTGCCTTCCGGCCGGGCACAGTGGCTCATACCTGTCATCCCAGCAATTTGGGAGGCGGAGGCAAGAGGATGGCCTGAGTGAGCCCAGAGGTTCAAGACCAGCCTGGACAACTTGGTGAGACCTCGTCTCTACAAATAAATCAAAAAATTAGCCAGGCACGGTGGCTCACACCTGTAGTTCCACTACTCAGAAGGTTGAGGCAGAAGGATTGCCTGAGCCCAGCAGGTCTAGGCTGAGGTAGCCATGAACGTGCCACTACCTCCAACCTGGGTGATGGTGAGACTTTGACTCCAAAAAAGAAAAGGTGCCTTCCATACTTGGATCTTTGTAAATGTGCGTGACTCAGCCCCTGTACATAAGTTCCCAGTACATCCGTGTTTCCATTAGATTAACAGGCATACTCTTTTTGTTTGTTTGTTTGTTTGTTTGTTTGAGTTAGAGTCTCACTCTGTCGCCCAGACTGGAGTGCAGTGGCCGCTCCCGGCCACCGCAGCCTCGACCTGCTGGGCTCCGGCGATCCTTCCGCCTCAGCCTTCCAAGTAGCTGGAACTATAGGCGCGTGCTACCACGCCCGGCTGATTTTTTGATTTATTGTAGAGATGAGGTCTCACCAAGTTGCCCAGGTGGGTCTCGAACCCGTGGGCTCAGGCAATCCACTCACCTCAGCCTCCCAAAGGCGCGGGATTACAGGCTGAGCCACTGAGCCCGGCTTCAGGCATACTCTTAATTTCATAATAATAGCTACCTAGTCTCTGTCAGCCACTGATAGAAACACTTTATATAAAGTTGTTGGTGAAGACACTAAAATCAACCCACTGACATTGTGAGCTGAGTGATTACAAAAAGCAAAAACAGGCTGGGCACAGTGGCTCACGCCTGTGATCCCAGCACTTGGGGAGGCTAGGCGAGAGGCTTTTCTGAGTTCAGGAGTTAGAGACCAGCCTGGGTAATGTGGTGAGTTCTCGTCTCTGCAATAAATTTAAACAACTAGCCGGGCCTAGTGGCAAGCATCTGTAGTCCCAGCTGCTTTGAGAAGGCTGAGGCGGAACTCGCTTGAGTTCAGCAGGCCGAGGCTGTGGTGGCCATGAGCTTGCCACTGTACTCCAACCTGGGTGACAGAGTAAGATTCCAACTCAGTAAACAAACAAATAAATAAATAAAACTCAGCACAGAGATAAAAACCCCAGGAAGACTTTTGAGACATCTCCCTGAGAGTGTGGTACAGAGCCATGGCAACCCCCCTTATGGAATCCCCTCTAAACACCTTGATTCCCTCCTGATGACAATAGCTCAGTTCATAGAGGAGGCTGTCACAGACAGAAGAAGCAGCTTGGTTGAACTCTGTAAGTTTTTATCTGTCACTTCGTCTTTATCTGTCCACGTACTTGAATCACTTGGGCATGATTTTCCTACCACAATCTGATGTTCACAGTCACCCTGTAATAGCTTGCATTTTTGCACTGCTTTAGGAATTTGCTGATGATCTCCTGGGTTTTTTCCCCCTAGAATCTTCTCAAATAGCAGAGTTAATTGGTTCTTCTGTAATTTCCAAAGTTCTTCCTTTAAAAATAAGATACATGGACTAGGTGCGGTAGCTTACACCTATAACCCCAGTACTTTGAAAAGCCGAGGTGGGAGGATTGCTTGAGGCCAGGAGTTGGAGACCAGGCTAGGCAACATCATGAGACCTCATTGTTATTAAAAACAAAAATAAAATTGACTGAATGTGGTGGCGTGTGCCTGTATTCCCAACTCAGGAGGCTAAGGCAGAAGGATGGCCTGAGCCCAGGAGTTCAAGGCTGTGGTAAGCCATGATTGTGCCACTGCACTCCAGCCTGGGCAACAGAGTGCGACCCCAAATTGAAAGAAAAAAAAAATGACAAAGATGATCCTTTACTTGATTGTTCCTTTCCTTTTTTTTTTTCTTTTTGAGTGGAAGTCTTAATCTGTTGCCTAGCTCAGACTGGAGTGTGAGGCCACACTCGTGGCCACCGTAGCCTCGACTTGCTGGCTCAGCCTTCCAAGTAGCTGGAACCACAGGTGTGCACCACCATGCCTGTCTAATTTTTTTTTTTTTTTTTTTTTT